ATAGATAATGTATAATGTAAAAAGTTGTACAAACTGTAACAATATGTTCGAATAAACAGATTTGAGGCATGACCTCACCTTAACTCCAAAAAAAAAAAAAAAAAAAAATCTTTTGGTTATATAAACAAAAATTTATAATAATAAAATAAATATAAACCAAATTTTTTAAAAATTTGTGTTTTATAATGTTTTCTGAAATTATTAAATTATTTTGCTTTAGATTAAACATAGTTTGACAGACTGTTATAGCATATGCAATTTTTCTTAAATTGCATTATCAAAGAGCCAAATTTTGTTTAATATAAGTGATATATAAGTATCTTTTAAGCTTTTAGAAATATTCTTAAAAAGGTACTTATAACAATATTTGGTTTCTACAGATTATTTTTACTTAAGAACAATCTTAGTTTTTATTTTATTATTAATAAAAGATAAGAGATCTCTAAATATAACAAATATAGCATTTTTATATTAGTAGTTAAAGTACTTTGCAATAATCCAAATTTCTTTAAAAACTATTAAAATTTAGTAAAAATTAAATTTTAAAATTATTTAAAACTATTTAAATATTGCAAAAAATTTTAAAATAGTTTAAAATAATTCAAAATATTTAAAACTATTTTACAATATTTTGAATAATTCTAAATATAATAATAATAAATAAAATTTTTGAGTATTATCAAAAAAAGAATAACTTTAAATATTATTAAAAATATTTTAATTTAGATTTCTAACAAATAATTATAAAATAGTTGTTAAAATAACTTTAAGCAAAATTTATAATAAAGTTTAAAGTTTTTTTTTTAACAATACTCATTTAATAAAAATTTTAAAAAATTTTTTACTAGTCTATAAAAATTCTTTTCATAATAAGTATTCTACTGTTTTTTTAACTTTCTTGTAATAAATTCAAAATAATTTCTTTTAATAATACTTTATAGCTGACTTAAATTTTTTTTTAGAATATATTACTCTTTTTATTAAATCTTTGAAAGCTCTCTTTATAATTTGTTATTATAAAAATTTTTTAGTATAAATTATAAACTAAAATTAAAATAAATATTAATTAATTACTTTATGAAAAGTTTTTTCATTTGTTGCATTAAATTTATTATTCAACTTTTTCTCTAATTCTCTAATATGATTATTTACTTATTAAACCTAAAAGAGAAGTTGCTTAATATTATACAAATTTTTTTTTAATTTTCAAAGATTTTTACAAAGCTTTAAGCTGTTTTTAAAATGTTTAAATAATTCTTGTATTAATTAAAGTATTGAATAATATATAATACATTTAAAATATTCAAAATATTATACAAATTTTTAAAAAATTTAAAAAAATAAATATCAAATTAATTTAATATTTGTTTAAATAGTATAAACAATATTTAAATAATTTCAAAATATTGTATAATATTTAAAATTAATTGCTAACTTACAAATACAATTCAATTTTATAATTTAATAATTATTCTTATTGCACTATTTTAATAAATCCAATAATTTGTAAATTATTATAAAATTATTAAAAAATTTTTAAAACTTTTAAATACCTTCAATTGATAATTTAATTTCTAAAGAGCATAAGAAGTTATTACTTTTTAACTCCAATTTTGATAATTGATCTACAAAACCTTCTGATATTTCTGATACTATTTTTTAAGTCTTTGATGTAGTCTTTTTAAATTTATTTTTCTTGAAACTTTTCTTTAAATCTGCAATTATACTTAACGATTAACAAATATGTCTCTTAATTTATTGGCAAATGTATTAATTAAGAGATCAGCATTGGTTCATATGTCTAATTTCTTATAGATTATAAAAAATCATAAACTTTATCCTTATGCTTGTACTTTTATAATTCAAGGTATTTTGCTATATCATAATAAGTTGATTAGACCTCTGTTTCTTTTCTCACAAATTATTTCATTTTTTACATTATAGCACTTATAGTTTTAAAAGAATCTTTATTTAAAGTAATCTAATTTTTTTAAACCGATTTTATTTTTCTGGGGTATAATTGAAGTTAATCAGTTAAACCTCAATTTAATTAAACCCTGAAAAATACAAATTTGTCGATCATTAAAAAATTTGTCCCTTAATTTGTGAGCAAGTGTCTCAAATAGAGGATCTATATCTATTTTTACACACATTTTCAATAGAAAATCATTGTAAAAGCAAACTTTACATTTATAGCAGCTCCCTTTTAACATAAAATATACCACATACCTTACTAAGCATAATGGAACTCTGTATTTTCTTCTTGCAAGCTGATTTGTTTTATATGCTATAGTACTTCTAGTTTTAAAAGAATCTTGAGTCAAAGTTGCTGAATTTTTGAAATATATATTAGTGATACTTTGAGAAAAACCCAATTTTATTTTCAAAAACAATATCCCTAAACCATAACATTTATATTTAATGAACCTTTTTTTTTTGAATGACAATTGAATAAGTAATAGCAGCAATAGAGCTTATATAACAATAGCTTATAATGATAGTAATAATTCATATAACTGGTTATCTTTTTTTTTTTTTCTATAAAATCCTTTTTTTTTTTTTTTTTAACAATAAATTTAAGCCAACCAAAAATTTATAATACTGATCTTAATAATTTTGAGTATGTGCCTGAAGATTATAAAGAAGATGTTGAGAGTACAAGCTTGGTTGTTGAATCTGAAAGTATTATGACAGAAAGTGTTAGTATTATAACAGATAAATTTGACTTCAATATAGAATTAAAACCATTTCTTTTCAACTATACAAGCTTTGATAAAGCATGTGAATTGGCAGAAGCAGAAGAAAAGGAAGATTTCGATATTTTAAGAGAAAATCATAATAATGCTGATACAGACAGTAGTAACATAGTATTAACTTCGATATTCAATTTTGAATCCAGGTTAGATGATGAAAATGACTATCTTGTTGAGAATATTATTAAGATTAACACTAAAACTAGTTAGCAATTGTCACTTTGTCCAATTCTGGACATTGTTGATGGCAATATTAAATGTTATAGAGACTATTCTGAATTACAAAGACCACTTTCCCAACTTATTGGAGCATGGGAAATAGATTCTGAAATTTTTCAAAAACTCAGGCAACAGATAGATTATCGATGATAGGAGTTTGTCAATCACATTTTCTTTTTGACCAAAACTAGCTTCACGAGGCACATATTAAAAAGAAACGATCAATTGGAGAAAGTTGGATATTTTGCTGATGATGCTTGTTTTGCAACAAGTATAAATATTTTTTTAGTAGAGATAGAACTTGCATACAGCATTCACAACGTATCTTTGAAAAGAATATACAAATACTCTGTGTAGGTCTTATGGTTTGTCCTATATTTGATAAAACAGAATTAGAAAATGTTACAAATAATAGGGGAACTGAATATTGACCCAGATATGTATGTTCAGAATGTTTTGTTAGACAAGAAGGTTATTTCTATGAATGATATAGTTGTGGATGTCCAAAATTTGAGTGTAAACATTTACACAAAAATGATACAAATGATAGACTTCAAATTTTGGGTCATTGGATCCTGCGCATGGCTGAAATCTCTGATGAGAGTAAGAAAAAAGCCCTTTTAACATACTTGGTTTCTATTCTACTGACATTTTTTAATACCAGGTCATTTTCAGTAACCGCAAATTTACCTAGCCTTCTTTTTATTAAAATGGCTTTAAGACTAAGTCATGTCAATATGACCAATATTATAGATTAAAAGTTTGACATTACTTCCGAAACTACATCAAATTTAGGAAAAGCATTAGGAATAGCAACATGGAATGCACGAAATGAAGTATGAAATAAAAAAGTAAATATTGAAAATCTGAGATCTTTAGTTGAATATCAAGATGGATTTCTATTATGCATTTCTAATTTTTTTAATAGATTCATTGAAACATTACAAAAAAAAAAATGACATACTTGTAAAAAAAAGACAACAAAGGAACTTACCACTGAAAACTTTTGATAAGGATCATATAATAAGAATATCAGTGTTTCTTATTTCAATAATATTAAATGTCGCATTTCAGGATATTAACATATGGTTGACTTATATAATGAGCACCTTATATAGAAAACCAAAACTATACCATTCTCTCTACAATATACTTTGTGTTGCCAATGTAGTATTACATACACAACAGCATGAAAGGATTCTTAAGAAGGCCTGACGATATGAGGCAAAACCTGAAACAAGGTTATTACATAGAAAATATATATGGAATCTTTTGGTTATTGATAATATTGATTTTATAGAAAGAACTTTTATGTATAGAAATATCTATGATGCAATGTGAAGAACTGCACATGGCATATTGAGAATGGTCTTCCAGTTTATAATGCCTATGCAACTACACTGTCGCAATCATATAAATATTAGTAGTCCTCGTAAAATTAATTAGTCTCTTTTTGGAACATCACCTTTTACTAATAACCTTCTTGAGATTTATGAATTAGCATTTTAGAATTTTTTGAATTTAGGTATTGATGATTGGGACATAAAAAGTATCCTAAATGAAATTTCTAAAAATATTCAAATTGGATACCAGGTGCCATCTCCCAAAGTTGTAATACTTAGTCCTGAAAACAATTCAAATTGTGATGTGAATGTTTATAATGTATGTGATTTATTCTATAGTAATATAGGAATATGTAATACTGGATGTTTAGATATAGCTTGTGACCAAGCGATTTTTCATAGGTTGATTTTATATAAAGAGAAAAATAAAGATGCAAGGCCCTTACTAAGTTAATAGCACACTTCAAAAGATATGTGTGTTGTACTGATAAATATTTTTTCAGGATATGGTATCACCAATATGGCTGTAAAACTTGGGGTTCAGTTTTTAGATAAACTTAAAATGTTGTGAACTATCAGGCTACTAGTTGAGTTTTGGAATTGATTTGAGTTGCTGTTGGCATTGCAATTTGTAAATATTTGCACAACAAAAATCAAAGAATAAGTAATATTGAAAATAGTCAGAATGATGTACTCAGAGTTTGTTATCGTTACTTTTGTTGGATCAGTTATTGGATTGGGCATAAGATTGGTATTTGTTGGGGAAATTATGAAATGCAAATAAAAAATCTTATAGCATTTGCTTCTCTCTTTCCAGTTGCAGGTAAAATTAACTACTCTAGTTTAGTAACTCATTTTTTACCTTATATTGATAAAGATTCACACCTTTAAGAATTACTCCGTTATGTCTGCTCTGTTAATTTAACTTAACTTGGACACTTTTTTGCTTTTGATGAAGCATTGAAACGTTTTGGAGTAATGTTTGTAAAACAAAATATTGGGGGTAAAACAGTAAACTCAGAGGAACTAAAGCTTCAAATCAGTTCTGCACAAGCAGAAAGGGAATGACTAAAGTTGTTGATTTCTAAATACATGGAAGATATGATTACTGTTAAAGAAGAAAGAGTTGTATTATCAAGAAAAGATGCTTTATGAAAATTAGCAAATGAATTATTCACTGCTTTCGCTTTTCCAGATCCTAAAATGCATGAAATTTTTAAGTATGCACCAGAAATAATGCCAACAGGATTTAATAACATTTATGCATATTATAATCTTGGAATAGCCCATCTTCAAGAAATTTTGTGACAAGGCATATATAAGGTTGAACCAAGAAATACAACAGGTCGTAGAAAACACAACATAGTAGTACACAAGCTGCTTTCATTATTAGAACACCAAAAAAAAGATATGCAAACAAATGAGCTAACAATAAATAGCAATTCACAAAACAGTCAGATTGAAAATAATAATGTAAGTGCCGAGCAATTGCATGAACAAGTGGGTACAAAGTGTCAACATAGAGTTACAAACAATAATGAAAAAAAAATTCTTAAGGATTTACTTAAATATGATAATTTCCCTGAAGATAAAGCCATCAAAATATTAAGACAACTTTAGGAACAAAGTAATAACTGGGACATGCAATATGTTCGAATCTACTAGAATAATAATTACCACAACAAGAAAAAAAAAATTTCTCCTGATATGTAAACTAACAATATAGATTTTATAATTTTAAAACAGTTCATATTTTTTATGGTGAATTTATAGTATGCAAAATTGATAATAATTACTACTCTTTGAAATCATAACTTCAATTTAAATGAACAATCAAAGTATCAATATACACAATAATGTTGATTTTGTGTAATACTGAATAATAAGAAAAAAAACTTAAAGGTAACCTGATTGTGTTTTCACTTTATTAAGATACAAAATAAATTTATCTTTCTTTAATTAGAGCACTATTCAAGAGTTGAACCTGTTCAGACCTTTGGATTTAAACTTAAGGAATAGTTATTTTATAACGATTGTAGATATTAAACTTAGTATTATCATTTTGTTATTACTATCATATTTTAATATTTAACTTTTTTAAAATATTCAATGAAATTTAAATAGAATTTTTAGTCGTATCAGTAATATTTGAACTATATAAAGGTAATTTTAATATGCTTACTGTTGACTACTGCTTACAATACTCAGAGTCTTATTCAAGAACTCCAATTGAATGGCATCTATGATATTATATGAACCAGGTACTATATTTGGGGATTACGAGGTGTTTGTTATTTTGCCACAAAATTTTTGAGAAATGAATGAATTAACATAAGCATAAGTAAGTATTTCATTCAATCTTTGAATACTTGATATTTTGTTATAGCTAATTCTAACTAATGTGTTAAATTATATTAATAATAAATCAATAGAGTTATGCCCTGAGTCTTATTCAAAGAAACAGACCAGTAAGAACAGTTAATAATATCTGGGTCTTAGCTATAGTAGTATTATTTTTAGAGAATACTATAAGCAGTAGTCAAACAGAAGAAACAGTCGATGGCAACATATAAAAAATTTATTTTACAATATCAAATCATTCTACTAGTACATGTTATGATTATAATCCCACACTATTTTATTATAATGATAATAATAAGAAAATGGTGTGATATTATAATCATAACATGTACTAGCAGAATGATCTGATATCGGTATTGTAAAATAATTTTTTTATACATTGCACATCAGGTGAAGGATCAGTCATGTAACATCAACGATTTCTCCTGTTTAGTGGTCAACGTATATATTATCTCTTAGTAATTTTAATTTTAATATATATAATTTAATCTATCTTAAAAGCAACTTTTAAATTCGATCTATGGTTAGAATAAAAGAAATTATGATCATGTTTGAACTCGAAATACAAATGATTGTACAATGTTTTGAATTTAGGCTGTGGTCACATATTGGTTTAATTTTTTTTTTGGTTCAATTAAGTTTTAAATGTAGAACTCAATGTAAATATCAACAATGCATGTAGTTTATACAATTAGTATTCGTATTTGCATAACTGCAGTACTGAATATAGCGTTTGTGATTTATTTTAAAAATAAAAATATTATAATGCTCTTATCATTATATATTTACAAAACATACAAGGGTTTATCTTGCAAACCAAACCTTTTCAATTTTAAATAAGTTTTTAATTTATAGGTAAATAGAAAACTTCCAGTCTTTAAGCCATTATTTCAAAGATGTCCAGATATAATTACTGTTACATAAGAGATACTTTATTGAAGATCACACTTTAATCCCATGACTCACATGATGATTGTTAACGATCGAATCGAAGACAAAAGCCTGGTATATTTAAAATAAAGAAAAAGAATTACTTTTAGCTTCCTACTGAAGCTTAGAAACTACTATTAGAAGGATAGTTCAAAGCTATACTTATCTTAACCTTCAGTAACACTGCAGCAAGACTCAAAAGACCCTAGGACTTGGACCAAGTCTCTCCATGCCTCTTTCTGCTTGCCAAATCAAGGTTTTAAGAGTTTTTGAATTGTAGATTAGTTTCTTGATATTTGAAGTTTAGTTTTAGCATTAGCGTTAGTATTAGCAAACTAATCAAAAGGATAATAAATTATAATACTTAATCTTTTTTTTGACTCTTATCATTATCATTATATTTTTTTTATAAAAAAATATTCAATACATATAAATATTATTTTCTACTATATATATCGATATTATGTACTTTGTGTTAATAATGATAAATCTGAATGAATACTTAATGTTAATATGCTTTAATGTTAAAAGCTTGCTAGCTGTTTTCCTATCGCTATCACTATTTATCGAATAAAATCAGCTTTAAAGAATTAAAAACTTCTTAACATTAATATAATCATATCAATATTATCATTATATAGTAACCTTTGCTTACTGTTATAAAGTATAACGAAGTGAAAAATTTAAGTTAAATTTTATTCGCTAGCAGAATTTACCTTACATGCACTGTACTATATAATGACTATATACTTGATACTGATACTGATATGTATAGTATAGAAAATTTAATCTTTAGGGATAAAGATAACAATAATGATAATGACATATCGATGCTGAAAATTTTCTTAAATTATTAATTTCAATAATAATAACGATAGTCTAGAATCTTCAATCTTTTTGTATAGCGATAGAAACTAAGAAAATGCATAGCATTATGAGTCTGGAGTATATCATATGATGGTCATCTCATTGCACAAACATGTGAATGTGCATGTTTTTGCTATACTAAAATTACAAATTTGAACATGTATATGGACAGACATGAATTTTCAAAATTATGTTTTTGATGTAATAGTGATAGCGATAGCTTAACATTAAATGGCAATGAAAAGTGAATCAAAAATGTAGCTATTGATACATCAAAAACATAACCTTTGTATTACCCTGTGTAAGCCTTAAAAGTCCTCCTCTATGCTCTGAACAATAATACATTAAGAACAATATTTGCTTAATACAGTTAGACCTCTCTAACGCTAAACACACCCTCTATAATGATAACGATAAGTGCATACTCTTTCTAAATGCATGCTCAAGTGCCAAGCCCAAATACATCTAAATGCACACTCTTGTAATTACACTTTAATAACATGTATATAGAAATAATAAGAAAAAGTGCATTTATAGAGGTCAAGTATATATTTTGGCCGGTACTTGAGTATGTATTTAAAAAGAGTGAGTACTTATAGAAAGTGACTTAGCTGTATATACTTGACCTCTATAAATATGCTTTTTCTTATTATCCTCTATATGCACATTATTATAATGTAGTTCCAAGAGCATGCCAATTTTCAATATGTTAGTTGATTTTTATTTTATCACTATCACTATCATTAATGTTTTCGATTTTCTGCATTATACAGTCAGACTCTAACGCTAAGTGCACCCTCCATAACGATAAGTGTATATCCTCTTTAAATGCATGCTCAAGTGCTAGTCCAAATTTATACTTAACCTCTATAAATGCACTTTTTCTTATTATTCTCTATATGCATATTATTTAAGTGTAGTTCCAAAGGCATGTACTTAGCATTAGCATTAGAGAGGTCTAACTGTACATATGCATATACATATATATGCATATATTTTATACAAAGATTTTTGCTAAGTTTGTATTTATTGATGTAGCTTCCCTATACATATCGATATTAATATTTCAAATTTGAGCAAAAATCTCTTATGCTAATTTAAATTTGTAATTTGCGATGTTTTATCATTATTGTTAACGTTAATATTAACATTAAATCCAAATTTCAAAAAATCTTATAAATATAATTCAATTTGCTTTTTCTTTGTTATTGCTATTTGCAAGCCTTTACTATTTTTTTTTTTTTTTTTCCTTTAGGTAGTCGCGCTGGTGTACTTTTATTAAGAAAATATAAACATTACAGTAGATATTGCTCACTTAATTTCTAAGACCCAACTCTCCCGGCTGCTTCTTTGAGTGCCCAGGAGCGACCTACCGCACCAGGCAGTAACAAGACCACCTGGAAGGCTATTCCCGACCACCGCCCTACAATAGAGTATTACCAAACTGATAA